ATCTATCTATCTATCTATCTATCTATCTATCTATCTATCTATCTATCTATCTATCTATCTATCTATCTATCTATCTATCTATCTATCTATCTATCATTTAAGAAAAACAGCATGAAATCAAAGAAAGAAAGTTTTTACATTCTGACATCCCATCACAACGGCTTGGAGGCAAACAGCATCTGAGAGATGGGAAACATCATGGACACTATCCAAATGAACGCCAGGGCTCTGTGAATCCACCAACCCATCTTGGTTCATGGTGATTCATGATGGTAGCAGAGTTCACTGTCTAACATAACAGCCCAAAAGCTCTTGTGCGGATCCAACTGAGTTTTGGCTCATATTGTTCTCATACCCATCAAATACCCACTTCAATGTCGTCCCTCACAGCATAATAAATCCACCTTTAGGTAAAAGATTTTACCAACCTAAAAGATGGCTAGTTTTATTGTCATCACACTGTTCAAACTTTAAAATATCAATAATTGTCTAAATCTCTGCGGTGTAGCTGGCACATCATGGAAAGTCCATCTGCAGTATTGTCACTTTAGATCTGTTTAGTTCACATAAACGCAGCGTTCTCCAATCAGCTGTTTCTACGTGCAAAGTCCATAACATCAACTTTTAACACAGTAGAGTTTGAACATTTGTACATTTGCTTGGTGAATCATTTGAAAGTAACAATCCAGTAAGAATCTCTTATTTAATTAGCTGTTCCTGAAACCAATCACATGTCACTCTTTCTAACTAAAATCACTCCTTATAACTGAGAAGTTTTATTGATGTCCTTAGTTATGCTAAAAACTCCTATCAGTGACTGTGTGACATTTACTGTATTTAATGATCATCATGGCCCATACGCTTGCCTAACTCATTAGATAAGGTTAGTGTCAGGCCCACTTATAGTCTAGCCTGTGATATTTAAGCATCCCTAAAAGAAAGGGTAAACATCACACCTGATTTATTTTTTTTGTAACCCATTCAAGTGTTAATAAATCATTCAAGAAGTATTAATAAGTTATTAAGTAGCACTCTACTGTATATATAGATAAAAACACAACCGCCTTTAAAGCAAATAGAGTCAAATATATTATGTCCTGTTTAACCAGAGGCACCCATGTGGTGGTTCAATGATCCAACTATGAATGGAAGTGTAGCATTGAACTCATTATTCAGTGATGTTATCATTCTAATACGGTGAACTTCATGCACAAGTGCACTCAGCACACTGCGCCACAGAGTGAGGTCTGTTTACTTGACTTGAAGAGCATCCGGTTGGTGGAGAGAAGGGAGAGGGTGTTGGAGGTGTTGGAGGGGAGGAGCGGGGGGTGAATGTGTAGAGGTGAGGGTGCCCACTCAAATGCTGTCACCTCCTCTGAGAGGACCGGTTGCTAGGAGACCGGCACCACCATCACAGTATGGGGTTAGGAAGATGTAAGGCATCACGAAGTAGTGCGAGATGGATAGAGAGGCTTTAAAGCCACTCTGGAGCTTCAAATCTAATGAATGAATAGTTACAGCGGTGTAATTGCAGTGGGGGAAAAGGCTCCTGTGGTATTTAAAGGGATTATATAATAGCATGAGCAGGGGTGCAGCCCTCAAGGTGTGCAGTAATCAGGGATAATTGATATGTTATGGTGTGTGCAAGGCTGTGAATGCAAACAGATTTCAGCGCCCACTTGTTTCACCTCTGACAAACTGGAGCGGAACCACAGATAGTAGCACTGAGCAAAATAAATAAATAAATAGCAACAGTAACAATAAAATGGGAAAATAATACAGTTAGCACGCCAATGTTTGCAGTGGATATGACCTCAATTTTATTTCATATGCATGCTAAAATGAGCAACTTTGCACAAGTTTGTCAGAGGTTGACGGGAAAGTCAGCAGTTTTGAAGTTTCATTGTATTTGTTCATAAAGTGAGGAAGTACAGAATGTTTTCAAAGGCAGAGAAAAAGTGGAATAAGTAGAAAGATAACAAAAGCAGACAAGAGTACTTTGAGGCTTGGTGCACGAGAGAGGTGGAAAAGGGAACGGTAAAGACATGAAGCTGGACACTAAGTTAAAAAGACTTGCGCTGATCGGCTGAAGAGAGATGGAGCTGGAGATGTGCAGCAGGTTAGGGTGATTAAGAACAGAGCCTGTAATTTACCAGCAAGTAAAGAGAGTGCAGGGAACATAGATGGAGTATTTTGAGGAGCTGATGAATGAAGAAAGTAAGAGGATGAATGGAAGACAGTTAGTGAATCATGAAGGTCAGGAGGATGTGAGAGCGTCTACAAAGAGTGGAAAGACAGCTGGTCAGGATGCCATAGGAAGATGTCCATGAGAGAGGGTAGCAGACTTTTTGATCAGATTGTTTAACAGGATACCTGAGGAATGGAGACGAAGTGTACTGTTACTGATTTTCAACAAAGCTGATGTGCAGAGTTGTAGTACAGAGTGATAAAGTTTGATGAGCCATGCAATGAAGATATGGCAGGATTGACGCTGGCTTCATGCTGAGAAAGAGCACTTGAGATGGGATGCTTGCTTTGAAAGAGTTGATGGAGGAGTAAGTAGAAAGAATATATGGAACGAGTTGCACTGTCTTTGTGTATCTATAAAAAATATATGATAGTGGTGCTGTATGAGGAAGTCAGGAGAGGCAGAGAAGCATGTGAGGTTGTTGCAGGAGGACAGTGGTTGACTCACATCAGGGTTGAACTTATGACCTTCTTTCCATGAGGCAACAGTACTACCAACTGCACCACCGTACATAGCAAACAACTGCATTTACTTACATGGAAGTCAGCCCAAGTGTTATTATCAGCTGGATTATTGTCTGACTATCTCCAGACCTGAGGCACTCACTTCTTTCATGGGTCTGCCATCAAAGGCACAAAGCCTGTCCCACGGTACACTTTGAATACATCTGTTTACATGATAAAGAAGTGAATGCAGAAATACTAAGTAAAGAAGAAGAAAAGAAGTAAATCCATTTATAAATTATGAAATCATAATTCATCATCTTAATGAAACTAAAAATTAAATAGCAAAGTCTGAAGTATTAATCTGTGTCCTACTTTTATAATGAATTAATGCCCCTTTCTCTTATTATTTTTGATGCATTTAGTCCCATAGTCATTTATGTCGTTTATTTTGGCAGTGTTGGTCCTCCAAAATTAAAAAAAGGTGATGAATGTAAACATTGTAGCCTCTGGACCTTGGACTCTAATTATGATCACTTTGAGCCAATAGTATTACTCTGACTGACTATAGACTCAGAAAACGGCAAAAATAAGTCATCATTGCTGTTGTTCGTTTAGAATATTAATTTCATTTTTTCTTTCTTTCTGTTTTTCTGCTGAGGTCATAAAATAGGATACAATTTTATCCTATTTTATGGACAGTTAAGTAAACCTTTCTTTTATTTCTTTTTGTTTGGGGAAGGGTGGAAACCAGCTGAAGCTGAGATGCAAACAGAAAATTCCCAGTTTGCACCCACGACTCAGCCTAAATAGAATGTATTGTGTGAGGCTCAGATCTCATGGATGAGCCAGAGACGGGCAGAATAAGAGTAAAAGGGAAGAGGAAAGAGAGGAGGGGGTGTACCTGAACAAAAACCCAGAGCCTAAATGAGCTCCAGTAATGTTCCCTTTGGAGATATTCCCGAGAAAAAACAAACGTGAAGTACTTTTTTGACCGCAGGGATAATCTTTTCTAAAAAGCAGACCTTTCAATGACAACTGTCGGTTCGCAGATCCCTTGATGCAGAAAAGCTTTTACAGTATAAAAGAGAGCAAGTGCAGGTTTTTGTTATTGGTGTCATTCAGAAAGATCAAGGGTCTCCCTGGCAACGTAATTGATGTTATTACTCAGAAGTGGAGAAGCGAGTCGCAATTTGTTGTTAATCTTGCAACTGTTTTACATGAAAACTGACTCCTTTCAAGTCCCCCTCTTCCACCCCCCTCGCCCCCCCAGCCATCAAACGGAGCGGATGGCTGCTGGCATCAGGTTGCGCCTATATGGTGCCAAAATGGGGAGTTACCACGACAACCTGTAGATGGAAACCCCTTGACTTGCAAAGGTGAGAGTTGTCACGC